AAAAAAAAAAAAGAAAAGAAAGTGGCACAAGTGATAACTGGCTTGCGTGAAACCTTGGGTTTGATCCTCAGTACTGAGGGAAAGTTGTTTGATTTTGTTTTTTTGTTTTATTTTTTTTGTTTTGTTTTGTTTTTGTCCTGCTGAAGGTTTCTAGTTCACCTTTAAAGTCCTCACTGTATGTTCCTTAGTAATTTATAACCTCTTATTCTTTACTTTTTGACTAAAATAACACAATGATTTTTGGGGGGAAAAAAAAGAAGTCCTCAGCTGCCCACTGGTGGCTCATATTTATAATCCTAACTTCTCCAGAGGTTGAAATTTGTGGATCATGGTTTGAAGCTCAGCCTGGGCAGAAAAGTCCATGAAACTCTTATATCCAATTAACCAGCAAAAAGCCAGAAGTGGAGCTATGTTTCAAGTGATAGGGTGCCAACATGAGTACAAAAGCTATAAGGGATAGCACCCATGCCCTAAGTTCAAGTCCAGTGCTAGCACACACACACACACACACACACACACACACACACACACACACACATGGGGCTTGAGTTCTGTCCCTAAGCTCTTTTGCTTAAAGCTAGCACTCTACCACTTTGAGCCACAGCCCCACTTCCAGGTTTCTGGTGGTTAATTAAAGATGAGTTTGTAGACTTTATTGCCTGGGCTTCAAACCTGGATCCTCAGATCTGTCTTCTAAGTAGCTAGGATTACAGGTATGAGCCACCAGTGCTCAGCTTCACTGAAAATTTTGTCGGTAATGGGGCTTGAACTCTGGGCCTGGGCGCTGTCCCTCAGCTCTTCAGCTCAAAGCTAGTGCTCTACCACTTGAGCCACAGCGCCACTTCCGGCTTTTTCTGTGATTGTGGTGCTGAGGAATCGAACCCAGGGCCTCATGCATGCAAGGCAAGCACTCTACCACTGAGCCACCTTTCCAGCCCTTAAATGATTTTTATCAGCACCACAAAGTAGTGTTTCCAGGTGCCCTGCTATTGGCTGAATGAGCCTCTTGGCTCAGTCCTCACACCTCCAGACCACTCTAATCTCAGAGCATACAGAGAGCAGCCTGGGAAGACTCCATCTATATGTAGCATAAGGGTCTACAACAAACTCATAACAGGCAGTTCCATAGGTCAGAATTTTTTGTTCTAGCCAAAATGAAATGAGAGTTGAAAAAAATACACACTCTGCTGAGCACCAGTGGCTCATACCTATAATCCTAGCTTCTCAGGAGACAGATCTGAGGATTTCAGTTCAAAGCCATCCCAGGCAGGAAAGTCCATGAGATTCTTATCTCCAATTAGGCACCAGAAGTGGCACTGTGGCTCAAAATGGTAGAGCACTAGCTTTGAGCAAAAAAGCTCAGGGACAGGGCCCAGGCCATGAGTTCAAGGCCCCCATGGACAAAAAAAGAAAAAGGAAGAGAGAGAGAGAGAGAGAGAGAGGAAGAAAAGAAAGAAAGAAAGCACATTACTGTTTCATCCAGAAATCATCAATGTTATCCTAAGTCATCTCAAGATACGTCTATTCTTCCTTCATAGCATCCTGCTGCTTTATTCAATAAACACATATGAGACACTTATTTTTGTGAGATCCATGCTCCTTTCTATGTGAAGGAAGGAAGTGCAGACCTTCCACACCTAACCAAATTTCTGGCAGTAGGAGGCAAATCATCTAACAGACACTGGCTGACTTGCCTTCATCCCTTGGAGTCAGATTTTCTGGATCTGACTGTTGGCTGCATCACTTTAAAAAGTTATTTATATCCTCTATGCCTTAGTTCCCTCTTGTATAAATTGTGGATACTGGAAGGCCTACCTGGGAGGGTGTGGAGAGGAATAGCTCCAATGAATACATGTCATATGGGGCAGCTCATCCCGCAGGTTCAGTAAGTATTCAGGCAGGGTTAGCTTTCTTCTTATTTTTTTATTATATTTAATTTTAACTTTAACACACATATCTGGGGTGGTAAAAGGATGTCAATGACATGGAAAACAAGAAAAATACTATAACTTGAATTTAAAAGCTAGCAGCACTCAGCTTTGTCTGTCTGTCTGTCTCTCTCTCTCTTTCTCCCCTTCAAGGATATATACAGGAAGGCAGAGGTTATTTCTCAATTTCTTCCATCCTCTCCTTTAATTTTAATCTATTTTCCAATTTTTATGAATATGTAATAAACAAATTTTCTAAAATAGTCATGAGCAACCATAGGAAACACTTTAAAAGTCCTACTTCCCAGTATCCTCTACGCTAGACTCAGCTTCGTAGTGGCATCTCAGAGCTGGACAGCCCTCCTGCAGCGAGCACACAGCTCTGTTACACACTGCCCTACAGAGCCTGTCTAGCTTATTTCCTCATCTGACTCCTTGTTCAGTCTCTTGTTTGTCTACTCAGGTGTTCCTATTAGGGCTGATGCATGCCTTCCTTATGTTGAGAGTTCTTTGGAGTCAGCTATGCTCAAGGTAGCTCCTGCCCCACTCCTGCTAAGCATGTGCCTGCCCTTGTTCCACTTTGCAACAGATGACATAATCCCCACGCAATCATCCTGATGTGTGCATATCCAGCAGGAAACAGCAGTGCTTCACTAATGATAATGGACTGAAAGGACTCCTCACAGAGAACGGATGAAGTTCAGGGTACTAACTTGGCACTCAGATAGAGCAGGAAACCACAAATCTCCCTGGGAAGAGAGACACAGGTCCTTGGCATGGAAGAAGGGAGCAAATAAACAATAAATGCTTTCTCCTCCTCCTGTTCTTTTGCCTTACCACCCATTTTCTTCCATGCCAGTAGCCAGAGGGCAAGGATGCCCAAGAGAAAACAATCTACTACTCCCCATAGTTGATGGATTCAAGTTATAATGTCAACCTTCAAGAACTCTCTAAAAAGCCAGGCATTGGTGGCTCACACCTATAGTTCTAGCTACTCAGGAGGTTGAGATCTGAGAATCACAGTTTGATGCCAGCCTGAGCAGGAAAGTCTGTGAGGCTATTATCTCCAATTAACTTCCAGAAAGAAAAAAAGAAAAACCTTTAAAAGAATTAATTTCAAGCATATATAGACTAGTGGGGAAGGTATTTTAAGAGAGACCTTTCCAAATCAGACTTTCTAAGTATTTAATTCTCTAGTCCCAGCTCCTCACAGGCACTCAGAAAATGCTCATGGAGAGGCTAAATGACTTATTGATGCTTCCCCCCTACACACACACATTTATTTTTATTCGATTTGAAGCAAATATGGAAGGTGAAGATGCTTTGTTGATTTGAGTACCCAGACTGGTCTCTAGAATGTCTTTATTTTTTTATTTTCATAGTAGACCTCAAAGACAGAGACGAGAAGCCCATGAAGATGCCCACAAGCAAGTCAGGTATGGCCACAAATGCTCACACCAGTCTAAGGTTGCTGCTTCTTTCCATACTTCTATCTCAGTGATTCTCAGCAGTGTTTCCAGCCCCCCACATCCCCCAATCAGGAAGCAGAGGGAGAGGGGTGAGAGGAAGGGACCCTAAAAGGAGGTAGAAGGTATGAGTGCTGTGGGTAGCAGTAGTGACTGCCCCCCCCCCACTCCCCCACTCTCCACCCCCATGTCCCAGCTTCCTCTTTCACACCCATGGGCTGCTCAGTCCTCATTCACTAGTTCAGATCTTTCCCTGGGCAACCACTTTCTTGGCTACTCTCGGCTTCCCTCCTCAGCTCCATAAGGCCGTATTCCCTTTGTGTTTCACTTTATGCTTGGAAAAGTGCTTCCACAACTGGCATCTCAGTTACCTCTACGCACCCCAGCCAATCATCAAGCTTTATGTTTAACAGTTGGAAAATCATGCGCACGGAATGTGGTGCAAAGGCATATAGCAGGCAGTTGCAGAATGAAGACAGACTTCTGGTAGCTTGGTCCTCAATACTAGAGAGTTCCTTCAGGAAAGAAGATAGCAAAGGACAGAGGTAGATACAAATGCACTAGCGTTTTTCAAGATTTTTCTTCTGACCACCATACCTATCACCTGCAACAGTATTACCTACAACAGTATCTAGGACTCTGAACCTTGTCAGATATGCAAATTCTTGTCCTCTACCCAAACCTACTGTACCAGACCCTTAGGGGCTATGGAGGGTCAGGAATCTGGATGATAATGAGTCCGGTGGGAGATGCTAACACATGCTCAATGTTTGGAAGCCATTACACGGTGGGAAAGGAAGTGTGTGTCAGCTCCTCTGAAGAAGAGTTGGCCAGGTGTCAGCATATGGAGGATCTGGGAGGATGGTGATCTATGGATTTCAAAGATTGTGCTGATGAGCAAATGAGCAATATTCAAGGCTGCTGTTTATAAGGGCAGAAGACTGGGAGTAAATCCAAACATCTACTGCTAGGGGACTGCTTGGTCACGTAGTTTATGAAATATCCACTCAAAGAATTCTGCATTGTAAAAAGAATAAGACAAGACAGGCACACCTATTATCCTAGCTACTCAGAAGGCTGAGATCTGAGACTCACAATTCAAAGCCAGCCTAGGCAGGGATGTCCATGAGAATCTTATCTCCAATTAACCAGCAAAAAGCTGGAAGTGGAGCTATGGCTCAAGCAGTAGAGTACCAACCTTGAACAAAAAGGCTAAAGGACAGTGCTCAGGCCCTGTGTTCAAGCCCTAGTACTAGAACAATAACAAAAAGAATAAGGCACTTGGGGTTCTCTGGTATGCAAACAAATCCAAGGCTTATTAAGTAAAGGAAAGGCAAGTAGACATAAAAGAGTTCCTAAAATGCTAATTGGGTGTAAAGGAGTAGAGAACTAAGACTATTTCATTGTTCTTATATATTTCTATATAAGCAAGTCTGGACAGATAAACAAGAAACCAATAAAAGAACCTGTGGATGAGGGAAGAGGGTGAATGGTGAATGAAAGCATTAAAAAAAAGCCAAACCTGCAAATACATTACTTAGAAAAAAAATAACTATGAATTGCCATAGAGGCAATCCAGAAGTCAAGTCCCATAGAGACAGGGTGGGTGGCATCAGACTTAGGTAAATCCATTCTCCCTTCACAGAGTGGCCAATGAACATCAAGGAAACCAGGCTCAGCCACACCCACTCATTCCCCTCCAGCCCAACCTTCCTCTAATGCCTGAGAGCCAGCCCAGGAGGAAAGTCCATGAGATTCTTATCTCCACAGGAAAGAAAGAAAGAAAGAAAGAAAGAAAGAAAGAAAGAAAGAAAGAAAGAAAGAAAGAAAGAAAGAAAGAAAGAAAGAAAGAAAGAAAGAAAGAA